CCATTAATCCAGTTGCTAGCAGCCAAGCCAACCCAATGCAAACTCCCTCGCCCTCTGCAGCAAGCTACGGCCCCGCGGAGCCGCTTTGAAAGGGCTCGCCGGCCAATCAAAAACAAACAGCCGTGGACCCACGGTGCACTGCTTGGGAGCGCCGGATTGGCTCCCAGGCACCAGCACTCCAGCAGCCTCCACCCCATTAACGAAACGAGCGGAAGCTCGTTAAATCTATGGGGGTTGCTGGTTCGATATTTTAAAACCCTTCCGGGTTTGGAAATGTGTTTTGATATCGCTTCGGAAATGCCAAAAATAACGAATTAATAACGAATTAACGAATTAACGAACGAAACCGCACAGGCCTAGTGTTATGCCTCTGCTTGTAGTCTGTCCACGATCTTCTTGCAGCAGCTGAGGATGGGATCCATTGTTTCATCTGCTTCCTTGCAGAGTCTACACTTGAGTTCTTTTGTCGATTTTTCAATTCTGGCTTTGATGGCATTGGTTCGAATGGCTTGTTCTTGGGCTGCCAGAATCAGGCCCTCCATCTCCTTTTTATTATTATTATTATTATTATTATTATTATTATTATTATTATTATTATTTGCTACACAACAAGATAAGTCCACAGCAATCAAGATCACTCTGCTGGCTCTTGTATTGGATCACACGTTGGACACTTCCCAAGTGTCTAGGACTGTGTGACGTATCAGCTTGCAGCGCTGATTGTTTTTAAGTGCAGGCCAAGGTCTTGAGGCACTGCACCCAGTGTGCCAATCACCACTGGGACCCCATTTGAGTGGCTTGTGCCAGAGTCTTTGCAGTTCGACCCTATTATTATTTACTATATCATTTGTAATTTGGCCAAGGGCAACTGGGGATATTCATATTATGGGAGATGATATAGTGAATCCACTCCCGCGTTTTCATCCTTCAAAAAGCAATCCAAAATGGAAGCCTGAATTTATTTATTTTTTTATTTATCGTGTCAGGGCAACCAGTCAATTATATTACATTTCTAGCAGAACAAAACAAACAAACAAATAAACAAACACAAAGTTTGCAAACTTGGGATTCTATTAAATGCCCTTTAGCCACTAGCTGGCCCCTTGTAATGCCTCTGGTGTTGCTGCAAGAAGGTCCTCCATGGTGCATGTGGCTGGGCTCAGGTTGCATTGTAGCAGGTGGTCAGTGGTTTGCTCTTCTCCGCACTCGCATGTCGTGGATTCCACTTTGTGGCCCCATTTCTGAAGGTTGGCTCTGCATCTCGTGGTGCCAGAGCGCAGTCTGTTCAGCGCCTTCCAAGTCGCCCCGTCTTCTGTGTGCCCAGGGGGGAGTCTCTCATTTGGTATCAGCCATTGGTTGAGGTTCTGGGTTTGAGCCTGCCACTTTTGGACTCTCGCTTGCTGGGGTGTTCCAGCAAGTGTCTCTGTAGATCTTAGAAAACTGTTTCTTGATTTAAGTCGTTGACATGCTGGGGATGAGCTGGAGATGTCACTGCCTTGGTCCTTTCAGTATTGGCTGCTACTTCCCGCCGGATGTCAGGTGGTGCAATACCGGCTAAGCAGTGTAATTTCTCCAGTGGGGTAGGGCGCAGACACCCCGTGAGAATGCGGTATGTCTCATTAAGAGCCACATCCACTGTTTTAGTGTGGTGAGATGTGTTCCACACTGGGCATGCATACTCAGCAGCAGAGTAGCACAGCGCAAGGGCAGATGTCTTCACTGTGTCTGGTTGTGATCCCCAGGTTGTGCCAGTCAGCTTTCGTATGATATTGTTTCTACCACCCACTTTTTGCTTGATGTTCAGGCAGTGCTTCTTCTAGGTCAGAGCACGGTTTAGAGTGACTCCCAGGTATTTGGGTGTGTTGCAATGCTCCAGTGGGATTCCTTCCCAGGTGATCTTCAGAGCTTGGGATGCTTGTCTGTTCTTGAGATGTAAGGCGCATGTCTGTGTTTTAGATGGGTTAGGGATCAGTTGGTTTTCCCTGTAATAGGCAGTAAGAGCACCTAGAGCTTCGGAGAGCTTCTGTTCAACCATCTCAAAGCTCCCTGCTTGAGCGGTGATGGCACGATCATCAGCATAGATGAAACTCTCTGTCCCTTCTGGCAGTGGCTGGTCATTTGTGTGGATGTTGAACATGGATGGAGCAAGCACGCTCCCCTGAGGCAGGCCGTCCTTCTGTGTCCGCCATCTGCTTCTCTGGCCCTGGAACTCAACAAAAAAGCTCCTGTTTTGTAGCAGGTTTCCTATGAGGCGGGTGAGGTGGTCGTCCTTTGTGATATTATACATTTTTCTCAGGAGGAGGTGATGGTTGATATGAGAGAAGCCTCCTCGCAGGATTGCGAGACATCCGGGCGTCCCCTGGGCAATGTCTTCGTAGACGGCTGATTCTCTCGCCACAGAAGCGACCAGCATGCAAGCAAGCAAGCAAAACAACCAACGGACCTTTTCAGGCCCTGAATTGATAAAACCATTGGATTGTTTTATTTTAATCATGCTAAAGCCTTAAATCCGATCATTCCCATTTAGGAATGTAAACAAACAGCCTAGGTCGAAGATACCTCCGTGATTATTAATTATGCATTTTCTAATTATATTTTGGGAATATGCTAAATGCTGTTGATGGGGGTGGAAGAGGACTTGATCAAAACTTTTTCTGCCCCCATTCACTCTCCGTTCTGACCCTCATTTAATTGCGAAATAACCTAGAAGGTCAAGAAATTAATTTTGAGAGATTAAGAATCAATCTGAACCAGGAGCGAGAGATATGGCTGTACATGCAAATGGCCTGATTATTATTATTAATCTGGAAAAAAAACTAATTAATACTAATGGCTTGGTTAATACCTACCTTCGAATGAATTATTGTTTTGCAAAAAGAAAAAAAAGTGCATGCAAACCCGGAATCCAATAGCCTTGAGCCATAGCCATAAAGTGGTATCAAACTGCATTAATTTGACAGTGTAGATGCACTCTCAGTAGTTTTCCGTGCAAAGATAAGGCCGGACCGCACCTGTTGTATTCTGGATCTCATAGTCAAACGATAACGTGAACAGCAGAGTTTCGCTATTGTTGAGCATGTTGCTCCATAGATAATAAATCCCTGCCCCCAGGATTGCAATTTGATATATGGATTTGGTGATGGAAAGGAAATGAAATGAAGGAGAGAAGGGATAAAAAGGTGAGCTCAATATCTGCTTAATTAAAGTGGTAAAGGGATATATGCATGAGGTCAGGGCCATATTCGTTGGCGTTAATTAAAGTAAGAGGTAGGAATGAGAGCCTGGTGCTTAGGAGAGAAAGAAAGGGCTTTCGGTGCCGTCCTTCAATTGCTTTCCTTTGTCGATGCAACTCCTTGGACTCTTTTCCCAAGCCCTCCTCTCTCTCACCATACTCTCTTTCCTTCCTTCTCTTTTTCCTTCCTTGCTTCCTTCCCTCCCTCTTTCTCCTTTTCTCCTTCCTCTCCCACCCTTTCGTCCTTTCTTCCTTCCCACTTTCCTCCATTCTTCCCTCTCTCTCTCTCCTTCCTTCCTTCCTTCTTTCCCTCCCTCTTTCCTTCCTTTCCTCCCTCGTTCCCTCTCTCCTTCCTTCCTTCCTTCCTTTCTTCCTTCTTTCCTTCCTTTCATCTTCCCTCCTTCCTTTTCCTCTCTCTCCTTCTTTCCTTCTTTCCCTCCCTCTTTCCTCCATCCTTCCCTCTCTCTCTCTCTCTCTTTCTCCTTCCTTCCTTCCTTCCTTCCTTCCATCTTTCTTTCCTTTCTTCCTTCCCTCTTTCTCCCCTCCTTCCTCTTTCTCTCCTTCCTTCTTTCCTTCCCTCTTCCCTCCCTCCTTTTCTCTCTCTTTTTCTCCTTCCTTCCTTCCTTCCTTCCTTCCTTCCATCCATCCATCCTTCTTTTTTTCTTTCCTTCCTTCCT